AACTTACCGAAAAGCCGTGTTTTTCTCGGTCGGTATAATCCGCCATTTTATTTGAGTGTGTTTGCCATCAGACTCTGCCCGGTGACGCCATCATGTGCGCTATAGAAGGAGGTCTGTGATTCGTTGACTAAAATCGTCGATAGTGGGTCTCGTTGAAATCTCGTTACATAGGCATCGGTTCAGATGTAGGTAGGGCGGAATTAAAAAAAATCACAAAATCAAAATCAAAGTAAAATAATAAAATAAAAGGGCATTAATAACAAAAGTAATAAAAAATAAAATTAAAATAAGTTTATAGCCAAAATAATTAAAGCCCGTACACTACATCAGATTTTAATCAGATTGAGCAATGGATAAACAGTCCTTATTTATTACTCAGTGATGAACATGTGCGTATTCAAGTGACACAGTTCATTAAAATGTTGAGTGCTGTATTTTTTTAATACTTTAATTTGTTTTTGTGACCATTACCGTTCCTCAGTGGAATGCGCAAGTGTTTCTAAATAAACAGATACATTCTACCAAAGGTACATTACTTGGGGTTTGCAAAGCGCATAGTACTGTATGGTGACATCATGTCAAGATCCCATTCAAGTCTCATCTCGTAGATAGCGAGACTGATGCTACGACCTTCTGACATGACAAAAGCGGTTTGTAATAAAACATGCATTACCACATTCATAGTGAAAAAATGTAATACATCGGAAATGTACAGAAAATATAATTATCATCATCGTGAGCAGTTATTTTGATTAATTATATAAAGGATCCCCTTGATCATCATGGCATTTCACTCCTCTTTAAGGTGAGGTCAAATGCAATGGACTTAGAAGGGAATAAAACAGGATGGGAAAATTATGAAAGTGACTGGGTATGTAAGCTTTGTAATGATGGAAAGGAGGATGTTTAGCACTTTTTATTTCTTTGCAAATCAACTATTCTATTTAGCACTGACCAATGCAATAGTGAAAACTATTATACATAGATTTTTCTCAGAAGGAATTAATTTCAAATTTAATTTTCTCTTCAGTGATGCTTTATGGGCAATCAATAGACCACTTTCCCGGAAGTAGCAATACTGGGGTGTAAAAATACTCCTGCTCTGTCATGGCGGAAAATACAAACATGTCAGTTTGCTGATAGTCGATAGTAAAGAATTTTATTTTTGTTACGTTGATTGGTACACCCAGGAGCACAATATCACGCGTGCAAGTTTACGTTACACCCCAATTTTGCATGCGCGCGCATGCGAAAAGCCGGTTCTTCGACTTCCGGGAAAGTCGTCTATAAGGATTTGGGAAATAATACATCAAACGAAATCCGAAACTTTCTCACCCACCTATGGAAATTCAGAAACGAGAAACTGAATGATTTACATGTATGAATTAATGCTTCTTATAGATTGTTTTTCTTTTCTTTTCTTTTCTTGTTGTTGACTTGTATGTTACTTTTTACGCCGTTTTAAAGGCTAATAAAATTATTATTATTATCCACCTGGACATCCCAGTATCCTAGTTACCTCGGGCATGCGCATTCGCATTTTTCTGAGTTGGAACGCTTATGCGAGAGCGAGATTGAAACGGGATCTTGGTATCATGTCACCGTAGTTGCAAACCCCAATGTACCTCTGATTCTACCCAGTTTCCAATTTACATTTGCCCGCCCTCTCGTGTCTGAAAAAGGGATATCTTACCCGCGACTGTTTATAAACAAGATGGAGGTGATTTGGTTCGTTACGTAGCAAATAACACTCGTCATAAATATACTTTACCGTTAACATTTATAGTTCATAATCCACAGGTAAGAATATGAATGTTTTGGCGTATCGTATTACCAGTTTTCAAATAGTCTTTCGACCTTTGTCCACTGTTCTTCAAAATCCTTTCACGTCTTGTCGTTGTCGTTTATCAACCCCCCCCCCCCTCCTCATGAAATTACCGTTTCCCGTCAAGTTTACGGCACCTAATATTTACTCCGAAATTTTGGATTTTGAACTTTAATAGGTGTGAAACGTTTCTAGGGCTGTTTTTCTTCATGACACGACTTGACTGATGTTGTGCTTGTAATATATTCTTGGCGTCGTCCATTCTTTCATTTCTCCATTGTATCATTCTGTTTTTCACTTTCTATTGGCGCTATTGAATTGCTGCTTTTCATTCGACCGCCATCTCCTTCCTTTTATCCATTGCATGCATGGTATGTCTGGTTATGGGGTCCCAGATAGGGTGTTTTACAAGTAATAGTATTTTGGGGAAGGGTACACAGTGCCCAGAAAAAAAAGTAGTGTACAGTAAATGTGCTTTCTGAAATTTGATGTTTTTTTGTTTAAATTAACATTACAATTATTTTTCATGAAACAAGAATTTTTTTTTCATTTTTTCCCCTAAAATTCTGACAAAACTACAACAAAAGCTGTGACAAGCACACTTGCGCTATAACCAGAATTTTTTTTTTTTACACATTTTAATATATTTATATATTGTACATAAATTCAAGGTATGAACAGTATCACATTAAAGCTGCAGGAATCAATTATATTAAAGCTGTAATACCTAAATTTCATGGAGACATCAAAGGCAATAGTTTTAATGCTTAATAAGCTTATCTTATCTATTTTGTTGTTGTTTAAATTGATATTAACATTATTTTTCATGAAAAGAGAATTTTTTTCATTTTTTTTCTAAAATTCTAAGATTCACTAGGTGTTCCTACATGTAATTATACTATAACCTGCAGTTATTCATAACAAGATTAAATATCAAATATTTCCAAGAATTTCTCTGCAATTCAGTGGTCTAATATTGCACACAATAATCCTAAAATAAAATGAAACTAATAATGATCTCTGAGTGCAAATTTAACAATCCAACATTTTAAGCTAATATAATGTAGGAGAAACATGTGTATGCTCATACCATGATACCCCTCCAGAAAAACTGCAAGTGACGAAAAATAGGGGGGGGGGGGTTATAAACTGATAAGTCATATAGCAATAATTTATGCTAATTTGTTTATTAAAACAATTGTAAAGTCTACTAGAATTTGTTCAGACTAACTATATTCCCAAAACAGCTACCACAACATACAACTAAGATCCCAACACAACCCAATCTGAAAGTTGTAGAATCCTGAGAAATGATTGTATTGAATATTAGCTTTTTAGGCTTTTTCTAAGGGTTATTGCTAGATTTATCGAGGTTCCATACATACTTCCGCGATATGTATATGCCATGAATTGATAATGGTGACTGAGTACTGCATCTAATCAACTACCTACGCAAGTTGTATTCTGATGCTGCAGGAATGGCAATCGATCAGAATCTTTCTTGGATAAGAATGCTCTAGATGGTTACAAGAAAGCTGCTAGAACACAACTTGCTTATGTACATGTAGTTGTCAGATGTAGTTAAAATATAAAATATCACCGCCTGTCTACTAGTATTTTTAGCTCCGCTGTCGACTTTGTCGAGCGGAGCTTATCATATGAGTGATTGTCCGTCATCGTCCGTGTCAATGTTTTACTTTTTCGACTTCTTCTTGAAAACTACAAGCCTGAATGCTTTGATACTTGGTGTATATATACCTTGGGTAGACCTCTCTTAGGTTTGTTAATTTCATGTTGATATCTTCAATTCTCTAATGTTGGTGATATTTTCGACTTCTTGTTAAAAACCGCAAGTGCAAATGCTTTGATATTACATATATAGGTACTACATGTGGACCTCTCTCAGATTTGTTCATTTTGTAATGATATCTTTAATTCTCTAATTTTGGTGAATATTTTTGTCATTTTTGGTAAAAAGTGATATTTTCGACTTCTTGTTAAAAACCGCATGTCCAATTGCTTTGATATTACATATATAGATACTACATGTAGACCTTTCACAGATTTGTTCATTTTGTGATGATATCTTCAGTTCTCTAATTTTGGTGAATATTTTTGTCATTTTTGGTAAAAAGTGATACTTCTTGTTGAAAACTGTAAGTCCGATTGCTTTGATATTACATATATAGGTACTACATGTGGACCTCTCTCAGATTTGTTCATTTTGTAATGATATCTTTAATTCTCTAATTTTGGTGAATATTTTTGTCATTTTTGGTAAAAAGTGATATTTTCGATGAACAAATTACAAATCAGGTTTCTATTCTACAGGATTATAATTATATGGATTTGTGTGGAAATAATTGTGTAAAGGTGATATGAACAAATTACAAATCAGGTTTCTATTCTACAGGATTATAATTATATGGATTTGTGTGGAAATAATTGTGTAAAGGTGATATGAACAAATTACAAATCAGGTTTCTATTCTACAGGATTATAATTATATGGATTTGTGTGGAAATAATTGTGTAAAGGTGATATGAACAAATTACAAATCAGGTTTCTATTCTGCAGGATTATAATTATATGGATTTGTGTGGAAATAATTGTGTAGAGGTGATATGAACAAATTACAAATCGGGTTTCTATTCTACAGGATTATAATTATATGAATTTGTGTGGAAATAATTGTGTAAAGGTGATATGAACAAATTACAAATCGGGTTTCTATTCTACAGGATTATAATTATATGGATTTGTGTGGAAATAATTGTGTAGAGGTGATATGAACAAATTACAAATCAGGTTTCTATTCTACAGGATTATAATTACATATGGAATTAAGTGGAAATAATTCTGTGGAAGTGAATATGGATAATATAAAAGAAGATCATACTATGGCAATGGAAGACATTCAGAAAGTAAATGAGGAAAGAGATAGTGCTGATACATCTAGAATGGATGTTATAGTACAGATTGACGACAGTCAGTGCATTCAAGATGGTGAGCAAAAACGCTGGCACTGCAGACTCTGCCCGAAGTCCTATACAACAAAACATAATCTTGTCACCCACATGTTCAGTCACAGTGGTGTGAAACCCTTCCACTGTCTGGAGTGTGGAAAGCGATTTAAACAGTTGAGTCATTTGAATATTCATAAGCTAACCCATGAAGATTTAAAACCCCATTGTTGTAGTGTATGTAATCGAGGGTTTACCCAAGTTAGTCATCTGAAGAGACATATGCTACTACATAGTACTGAAAAGCCATTCACTTGTAGTGTATGTGAGAAGGGATTTGCTTATCCAAGTGAGCTCAGTGCACATGAACTGAAACACAGCCAGGTAAAAGACAACACTTGTGTGGAGTGTGGTAAAGACTTTATTACACTTCGTCAGTTGAAGCGTCATCTTGTTTCTCATGATAACAATGTGCACAGATGTGAAGAGTGTCATCGAGGGTTTGCTTACCGCAGCCAGTTGCAACACCATATCATGAAACACAAGGATATCCGCCCATACATGTGTGGAGAGTGTGGGATGGAATTCATGCAGCCTCATCACTTAAGACAACACGAGTTTACTCACAAAGGAGTTAAGCCACACAGGTGTCACATCTGTGGGCGTGAATTTTCCCTGCATGCAAATATGAAGAGGCATTTACTCATTCATAGCAATGTGCGTTCCTACAGCTGTGAAATCTGTAACCGATCTTTTACCCAGAAACAGACATTAAAAGCTCACATGGTTGTACATAGTGAGGTGAAACCATATAAATGTCACGTCTGCAGCAAAGAATTCAGTCGATATCATAACTTAGCTGGTCACCTGCATCTCCATAAAAATTCACGGCCATTCAAGTGTACTTTGTGTTCAAGTGAGTTTACTCTGAAAGGGAATCTAAGGCGACATATGAGAATTAAACATGGATTATTACAAATCCAAGATGATGAAGATGGTGAAAAGGAGGAGGGAGAAGATGAAAAGATGCACTCAAAAAAGAATTCTGAAGATATATGCGAGAAGGACAAGACAGATAATAAATCTGAATCTCCTGAAGGCACTTCAATGAAAGAGGTAAAAATGGAATCTGATGAATCTGCTGAACAGAGTCTGCGACAAAGTCTAAAGTACTTGTCAGAATTGTCAGGCCAAAGCATAACAATGGATAGCTTTAAGAACTGTCTTTATCATAGTTCTTCTGATGAAATCAGTGACTCTGAAAATGACACTTCTCTAGATGGTATTAAACCTGCTCCATGTGAAAGAAGCAAGTACTTTGAATACAATAATGATACTTCTTCTCTTCCATGTACCTCTTCTGATTTATCTTCTGGAACTACTGATAGTAAGAAGTTGTCTGGAAAACTCCATAATATCATCGCTAAACTTGGAGCCTCTGGCCCAGACAATGAATAATCAGTTAGTATTTGACATGATTGCAACTGTCATTTCATTTGTTGTAATCACATTAGTAGGTAGCCAGAAAAAACATTCAAGTTTCTTTCATAACAAATAAAATGTGTAATAATTCATTAACATTTATCTATTTATTAATGAATGTATGAATTACATTGAATCAATTGAAATTATATAATAAAACCAAAAGATTAATCAAAATCATTGTTGGCTACCATAAAAACAGACATTAGAATTTATTGACTTGTATCATTGTAGATGAACGTTGAGGTATAAGAGGGGGAAAGGCCTGTCTTTGTTGTCAGCATGTAAAGCATGTTCTTGTGGTTACAATAACTCAAGCACTTTTTATCCAATTTCTTCCAAACTTGGATATTATATAAACCAGTCTTGGCCAAGTTAGACTGTGGGTTGTGTTCTATGTACATTTTTTAAAATTGGCTTATTCTTGTGATTACAGTAACAATTGTTATCTCATCAGTCACTATGAAATGTCAACCAATGTTAATTTTAGAGTGTCTAGCAAGTACATTTGACAAGAGATGGGGTAAAATTTGGCTGAAAAAACATCTAAGATATGGAAATAAGTATCTGTAGACATAATGAACGCAATTATACTGCTGATAATGGGATCAGATGTTAATTATCCATTATCCTGCCAGCCCTATGTACTTTTACACTGACTTGACCAGATAAGGGTTAATGTGCTCTCCAAGATCTGTCAATTAGAAAAGAGTAGTAAACTACAGTGTACTTTTCCCACCAAATCTGGCTTGTTTGTGAACTATTAAACAATTCATGTTATATAAACCTATAAGGGACTTGGAGATTAATACAGTAAATGAATATTAATCTTTTTATGTAATTATGATGACTCCATATTTGGTTAGAATTCTTTGCATTTAAATTTTAACCAGTATTTTCTGTGCAAAATGTTTTGATATACCGGTATATATTATCGTATTGTTTCAGGACTTCCCGATTCACTTTTGCTATGCAATGAAAAGATTGTTCACCATTAGTTTGTATCCATCCATCCATTTGTTATTTAAATGTAGATTCTCAATGAGCAAGGTTGTAATGTTTTAATATTGTATCAATCAGAGAAAAACTAGGATCACCGAAATATTTTTTACATTAAATATGGTTGATTTTGGGCACTCCTTCGTACATTAATGCTATTGAAGTAATAGGGTTGGTCTCAACACATCACATAGCAGCACCAATTTGCCTAGCCCAGAAAGCAGATGCATTATCCACTCCATCATTTGGCCATCCCACACATCTTCTATGTCATAACATGTATAACTGCAGATATATACTCAAAAACCAAAATACTCAACTGATTTTTTCCCCCACAAAGAACACACATTTTATACCGGTTAATGTACGGGCAAGGTGATATTTTCATGGAAATGTAACAGCCGAAAAAATGGTGAGTTATTCAGAAAACAGCAATATTACTTAAAGGCTTCAAAATATATGAAGCTGCATCTTTTAATCATAACTACACAATTACTTTTATTGAGTTTTGCATATAATTTGTTTTATTTTTAGAAGGCCATATGAAATTCAGGGCTTGGTAGATTTGGATTTGTGTTGGCAACAACTGTTTCTATAAAAACAGATTGTACAAATCATTGACAGTAACTCTGGATGTATTTGGGTGGAATCATAATAACTAACATAATTTTGAGAGAGTGTTCATTTTATTTATTAAAACATAAAAATGAATTGTTTATACAGTCTGTTTCACAATATATTAGTATTTTGTAAAATACACTCCTTGACTTGTCATTGGGAAAGCATGACATGCGTCTCTTCCTTGAGCAGCTGTGGGTCACCCAGATGCAAATTATTTGTTACCTAATACTGAAATAAATAAACTGTATAAAAGAAGACAATTTTCAGCCAAATATAGTAATGACAAACTCAAAACTGAATTTCCTGAACCTTTGTCTACACGAATGTCATCAAATTGTGAACATGATTCCTTGCTGTGAAAACTAAATTGTCTACAGTAACCCCCATTATACAAGGTCTTTGCCATATGACACATAGCCATAGAATTAATCTAATATCGCGTGCTGATGCTGTTTTTTCTCATCTGTGGAGGCTTTCATCAGACCATGGGTTATATCAAAATTAGCAAGATACCGGTAACAAAAATTATTAAACTAATCTACCTAAATCAAAGAAAGCTTAGAAAGAACTCCCGTGTGCTGATAGTATTGGGAACACATTAAAAATTACTTGTACTAGAGATATTGATGGAAACGCAGAAAACTAATTATGCAAATAAGGTAACTAATATGAACAGATTTAAGTGTAAAACTAATAAGGTCTGCACAATGTACCAAGTTTCAGTGAAATGTGATTAGAACCAAAAAAATATTAATTATTATTCTAATTAGAGAATTAATATGAACAGATTTTAACCCAAAATTAATTAGGCTGTCTATTGTCCTAGAGCACTTATGTACCAAGTTTTATTCAAATGTGATGATCAATACTTGAGATATCAGTATTAATTAATTATGTTAATTAGGTGATTGAGAAGCATAAATATTTACCAAAAACTAATATGGTGTATAGTCCTAGGTTCATTGAAATGTGATGCATACTCTTTTAAAGTTTCATTGAAATCCAATGAGTGGTTTTTAGACATCAGTGCAACAGCCATAGAACAGCAAAAAATTAACTAATTGTGCAAATTAGGTAATTAATAGGCACAGATATTTATCCCAAAATTAATCAGGTCTCTGCATAGTCCTAGAACATCTATGTCGCAAGTCTCATTGAAATGTGATGATTAGTACTTGAGATATCAGGTGAAAAGCTGAAAATTAACTAATTAATGCTAATAAGGTGATTAATATGCACAAATATTTACCCAAAAAACTAATTAGGTCTTTGCACAGTTCTCAAGTAACTATGTCCCAAATTTCATTGAAACGTGATCATTACTACTCGAAATATCAAAAGCTGAAAATTAATTAATTATTCAAATTAAGTAATTAATATGTACTGATATTACCCTAAAAACTACCAGGTCATATGACATCTATGTACCAAGTTTTATTGAAATGTTATGATTAGTACTTGAGATATCAGTGGAAAAGCCGAAAATTGATTAATCATTACCGGTATGTAAATTAGGTAATTAATAATATTAACAGATTTTTACCCAAAACTAATCAAATCTGCGCATTAGTTCAGAGCATCCATGTGCCAAGTTTCATTGAAATCCAATGAGTGGTTCTTCAAAAATCAGTGGAATAGTCATGGAACAGCTTGAAATCAGTTAATTATCATTCAAATTAGGTAATTAATATTCATAGATTTTTACCCAAAACTAATCAAATCTGCGCACTAGTTCAGACATCCATGTGCCAAGTTTCATCAAAATCCAATGAGTGGTTCTTCAGATATCAGTGGAATAACAGCTAAAAATCAGCTAATTATCATGCAAATTAGGTAATTAATATTCATAGATTTTTACCAAAACCTAATCAACTCTGCGCATTATCCCAGAGCATCTATATACCAAGTTTCACCAAAATTTGATTAGTGGTTCTTGAGATAACGGTGGAACAAAAAAAGTGACATACAGACATACAGACAGGGTAACAGCAAAGACTCCCTTTTGTGCTTCGCACACGGGAGTCAAAAACTAACATTTGGTATTCTTTTATTCAACTAAGGTTAATAAAACGTGTACAATATTTGCTTCATTCATTAGACATTATTTTCTGATTTTTGGTTTTTCCAGTGATCCATTATTGGTCAACTTTAAGACATCATAAATATCAAGGGCTTCACCTGTCAAGAAATAAAAAAGCTTTGAAACGGGTTTGAAGAGAATATCTGTGATAATAAAATCATCATGTACTAGATGATGGGTTAAACACAAGTACATGTAGTCATGAATGAATTAAATGTATGGGACATAGACCCTGAATGTATACTAGAACTTCAAAGTTGAAACCATACATTTAATTCTGCACTCTGTAACATCAGTGTATATATAATCATACTGACATGTAAAACTCTTCTCCAAGATCAATTTATTTCATACAAGCACACAATAAATGTCTTTTCATGCTGTGAAGTTAAAGCTATTTGTATTTTTAGTTGCTCCACGCTTCACATGAATATTAACCGTGATCCATGAATTGACTTGCATAGTAGATATGTCAAGACACTGACAGACTTGAGACGTTTAAATAAGAAAAACTATTTTCAAGTCATACGAATGAAAAGTCATATTTCCTGCATTGTAGGAAGACTAAAGGCTACAAGAACGCATCCACTATGACATCACCGAATAATAGAATCTAAAACAAATACTTGCCAGTTGAAAAATACAGTGTTTTTGGTCAAGAATGGAAAATTGATAAAATGGAAAAGTATGTGTCATGAAATTACCTCTGACAGAAAATTACATCCTAATTTCAATCAAAGTTTGACTCAATATTTCTTCTTAATTAGTAGTTTAACACTTTCATCTATGCAAAGCCATATGAACCACTTCTAATTTTAAGAAATATTATGATGGCAATACATGTACTCATGAATGAAGAAGAAATATTGAGTCAAAAGGTCTGTTGAGTGATTATTAGAATGTAGTCTAATAATAGATGTTGTCATGGCATTTTCTGACCAGCTATCACAGGCATTATACATTTGAAATGCACTTGTTGCTAAACAGATTGAAATGTTCTCATAAACTTCATTAAATTGTAAAAATTCTTAGTAGCGATAAATTTAAACAGTTTAAAATATATCCTCACAGAGGCTAATAATTATTTGCACATTAACTAGTTCTTACCTTCAGGTATACCATAACCTTTTTCTAAGCCATGTGGATTTGATGGAGTTTTGCAATCCATGCTGACCTCTTTTCTTAATACTGTATCGATATCAACTGCACTGAAAAATGCCACTGACTGTAGAACAAATAAAACTGATATTAGTGAAATGGAAAATGACACATGTATCAGGTTAAACTCAGGCATGTCTGTAATACAATTAGTTGGGTATGCCCCACATTTGGTCTAGGCTAGTAATTAGAAGATTGTTATTATTCTTACCTGAGGTAGATCCAACATACCCAATTTATATGCAAACATACACCTAGTAAGGAGATTGCTGATTTGTAATGCCATGGCCGCTCGGTATTTATCATTACTATTAACAAGATATCGTACTTCATCATGTATACTGATAGAAAATCTTCCATCGATATCATATTTGTCCAACAACCACCTCATACAGACTAACATCAAGTGAAGATAATCCACAGCAGAGCTTTGAACCACCCAGTTAATGCGACTAGTAAGAAACTGACAAACAAATAAAACCATTATATATTTTAACCTGACTATCTGAAGCTGGTAAAAAATAGACATATTGACAATGGTTTTTTATATTAACATATTAATCTAATTTATTAGTGAGTAAAAACACTTCAAAATCCATGTAGTGTGCAAATTTAATAAAAAAAAATCCCCATATACTAACCTCATTATTGACTGACATTGGTTCCAGGGCTCTGCTTATTCTACAACCCAGTACAGGTGTTCTTGGCTCATCACTCATGGCAATGCTTTCAAGTTGGTTGAACATCTCTGATTCACTGTAACATAAAATCACATTAAATTGGACATGTTCAATATTACCATGACTTAACTATCTCTGACATCTTAGTTTGAGTAATGCTGATCGAACATGTTCCATAATTGGTATTTCTGACATGCTGTGTCAGAAAAATACCTTTCTTTTCATGTTAGTATGAAATATTTAGTATTATTACAGAATAACTTGGTTTATAATTACCTTCCAACTTTCCATTCTCTCTTTTCTGTTAGGTCAAAACTGTAGTCTAGTAGATCCGTCAGTGGTATATTACTCCTACCAACAATAATTGTGGTGAATCAGGGCCAGATTAGAGCAGTGACACGACAAAGTGCTTATTCATGCAAACCAACAAAGCATATTTCACAAAAATATTCACTAGTAAGAGAAATACTTGGATGTTAATTAACTGGTCAAAGATTCAATTTGTTCATACGCCACCAAGGTTCAGAAATGACAGAAATGCTTGATTTTGATGCAATTTTAGTTTCAAAATGGCCATCCTTTTGCTATTTTGAATTGAATGACAGAATCAAGGGAAATATTCATTATATTGCAATGTTAGACTTACTCTATATCCTCCACATATTGGTATTCAAGGGTGTATTTCAGTCTTCTTCTTAACGTCCTCAACTCCTCATTTGTTATCCATCTTGACTGCTTCTTTTTTGACAGCAGCTTTCTCACAATCTCTCTGACATCTTCTTTTAGTTTGTATCTTCATCAAAATTCAAAAGCAAGATGAGTCACATCATTTGATCATAATTCACCTCACCAATAAGGAATTTCATATTGGCCACTGTTGATGGACAGGACCATGATGATGGACAGAACAAGATAAGGAATTTCCTCAAATTAGTGAACATCTCTATTTGAGTAATAATGGAATGCAATAATGGGCCGTTCGGAGCCAAATAAAATATGCTGAAATATTGCAAAATTTAGTATACATGTTATGCTTGAAAAGATAAAATAGTAATTGTTTAGCATGTTGAAAATGCTTGTATTTCAATTCTGCATATTAAAGTTCACAAATAAAAATAAACAATATGCAAAATATGACAAGCAATTGCATCACAGAGCAAACTTCATACTTCTTTTCTCTGACCAATCGAGAGAGAATTCAAGTACTAGTACTTTATCAGCTTTGGGGAAATTATGCATATCTTGATTATGTGATAGTTAACATCATACATGGGTGGAAGTACATGAATAGTTGTAGTGTGATATTTAGTATTGATTTGTGCATTGTGAAACTAAACAATTGAAAGTAGAAGACTGGTTTTAAATAATTATAAACAGCCAATAGATTGTGTCCGAGGTATGCAGTCCCATAATTGTGAATGTTGAATGAAACATAACTTAAAGTAATTTATTTAATTTGTTTCTCACAGTTCTATTTTGGTGTATTACTATGTTCTAGTAGCTGCAATATAATAATGTATTTTCTCTGCAATTCATCGTTGTCAGATCTCTTGGCAGTTTGTTGAATAGCAATATCTATAACAGTGTTTTAATAACAATGTTTATCCCACATATTATGCTAATTCAGTGTAATATTGTTCTATATCTACACATAATCCTTTTAATCTGCCATACAGGTATGGACAATTGAAAAAAATGGTAAATTATTAAGATTTGTTTACATCCAAAAACAAATAAATCTGCCAACTATGCTACAGTATTAATGTACCAGTCGGTTTCAGAGAAACATATTTATTAGCATATTTGTGAAACAGTGTGCACGTCAGATAAAAATATAACAATGTGTACCTTCTAATAATTCGTAAAATTTATATACTTTAGTAATTAAAATTATATGTGATTATGAAAATATATTTGATACTTTTTAATGCCTTTTGTAGCACTGTACATTGTGGATGCTTTTCTTCTAGCTTCATCAACTGACATCCGATGGTTAAACTGCATTAATAGTCTGACTGCAAATGGTTGACCAGCACCATAGATTCTCCCATAGTTGAACACCTACAAAATATATATATATAATTGTCACTTTGTTTTTATAGCCCTGCATAGTTATGGTAAGCTATCATCGATTGTGGATCACAATTACAGTTATCAGAATTATCATGGATCATATGATCATGTTTAGCTATCACAGATCATAAGTGGAAGCTGAACCGTGATTACAATCTATGATAACTGAACCATGATTACAATCCATGATAAGTGAACCATGATTACAATCCATGATAAGTGAACCATGATTACAATCCATGATAAGTGAACCATGATTACAATCCATGATAGCTGAATCATGATTACAATCCATGATAGCTGAATCATGATTACAAGCCATGATAGCTGAATCATGATTTATGATTATAAGCCATGATAGCTGAATCATGATTTATGATTACAATCCATGATAACTGAACCATGATTACAATCCATGATAGCTGAATCATGATTACAATCCATGATAGCTGAATCATGATTACAATCCATGATAGCTGAATCATGATTACAATCCATGATAGCTGAATCATGATTTATGATTACAATCCATGATAACTGAACCATGATTACAAGCCATGATAGCTGAATCATGATTACCATCCATGATAGCTGAATCATAATTTTAATCCATGATAGCTGAATCACGATTTATGATTACAATCCATGATAACTGAACCATGATTACAATCCATGATAGCTGAATCATGATTACAAGCCATGATAGCTGAATCATGATTACAATCCATGATAGCTGAATCATGATTACAATCCATGATAGCTGAATCATGATTTATGATTACAATCCATGATAACTGAACCATGATTACAATCCATGATAGCTGAATCATGATTACAATCCATGATAGCTGAATCATGATTACAATCCATGATAACTGAACCATGATTACAATCATGTGCACAAAGTCACACCACGCAAGACATTTTTCATCTATAAGAAGGCTAGATGGTCCTCGCTGAACCATGATTATAAGCCATGATAGCTGAATCATGATTACATTCCATAATAGCTATTAATCCATGATTACAACTAATGATTATTAGCTAAACCCTAATCAGATGCTACACTGACATGGTCAGTTTGGATGATAAAGATTGGAGATCTGATAATGACTAACCTTAGCTTGATCCCTACTGATGTCAATGGTATCTGCTGTTTTACTGTGTAAATCAGTTCTTTCAAGTTTATTACCCTGCAGATTCATCCAACCAAATGCTGTACAACCTTTAAGCAATTACACGATATTACTTACAATGTAGTTAACACAATAATGGCCAGAAACTTCATAATACTTATTTCACATTCAACAAATAAATGAAACAGATATGCACAAGTATTTACCATGAAATCCAGCAAATCTGGCATCACCAAGCAAAGATGCTATCCATAGTTCCTGTGAGTCGACATCAGCACCAACAAAGTGATACCCGGGTGGTGCTTGTACCATAGCTTTCAACTCACTACCTACTCTGTCAGGCTGTAAATGTAAAACAATTCAATACTGGCAATTAGCTCTGATGTTTAATTAAATTAGCTCAAGTGTTTAGTTGAATTAGCTCAAGTGTTCAGTTGAATTAGCTCAAGTGTTTAGTTGAACAAGTTCATGTGTGTAGATGAATTAACTTGAGTGTTTAAAATAAGTTTAACTTTAGTTGAATTACCCGTCATTTGAACCAACAAGCATTTAGTTAATTAATTAGCTCATATTTTTAATTGAATCAGCATGAAGCATGGTAAGTTCAGTCACAACAAATATAAGTCAGGGGTCCTTGTATACTTGTATACTGTAAATAATGTCCAAATTTACCCTCGCATTACTTGCTGTTAGCCATGTTGGTTCTACCATTCTTCTAGTTACTGTACCAGCAGTAACTACTTTTGGTAGAATGGCACCATAGTTGTTATCTTCATCATATTCTACATGTCTGGTCACTGTCTTTGGAAGTTCACTTCTCTCAAGTGAGATTACCATCTGTGAACTAAAAAAAAAAATAAGATGTAAATGTTGTTTCCCTACTTATCTCACAAAGATAGTATGGAAACTTCAGACATAAAGTAAAATTATGCAAATTAGATCATTATAAATGCAAGTAGTCAAAGTATAACTTCTCCAACCACTAAATTACATGTTGAAAGATTTAAGTCCCCTTTGTTCAATAATGACAAGACATGAAATGTCACAGTCCCCGTTATTTGATTATAAAGTTGTACAAAGAACATCTGCAAACAGGTGAATAAATATGTACTCTTTGTGGTTACAACTCATCATAAAGTGATTTCCGAAGATCTAGTTTTGTACTGACAACTAAAAACTTCCACTGACCCATGTTCAGAATCTCAGAGTACACAAGTG